TCTTGGAAAATAATTTAACCGAAAATAGTGTAATAGATTAAAATAAATGTTTATATTTTCGGTTAAATTATTTTATTTTATTAAAAGCTTAAAATTATTGATAAGTGTTTCAGATTTCTAAATAAAACAATTATTTGAATAATCACATTTTATTTATTTCAAACATTATATTTAATATTGCCACGGAAGCTGACCTTGTTCCGATAGAAAATAACATTTTAGCTCATTTCTAATTACACTTGGTTCTACATTTAGAGCGATCTGCGCAATATTTTGTTGCTCTTCGTTCAAAACTCCATCAGTAGTTCTATCATTTCTCTTCATAAAATTATGCAGATGCACACAAGCCATCACGACAATTTTTGCTTTCTCATTTTGTAAACCAATGCGTGGATGCAAAATTCTGAATTTATTAGATAAAATGCCAAACGCGTCTTCTACAACCATGCGCCCGCGACTAATTCTATAATTAAAAACCCTCTCGGGTGATCCTTTTGCACGATATCCAGAAAATGGTTTTATTATATTCTGTGAGATGGGGAAAGCATCGTCACCGATGAAATAAAAAGGTACAGGGGTATTTCTCCCTTGTAATGGAATAGCTTGTGGCAGACTTAAAGTACCATCTCGTATCATATCAAATAAAGTTGAATTTCGTAGAACTCCACCATCAGATATTCTGTCCTGACATCCAATGTCCACGTATAAAAAGTTATAATTGGCATCGATTAAAGCTAGCAAAACAATACTGAAATATGACTTATAGTTAAAAAACTCGGAACCGCTATTATTTGGACATAGTACACGTATATGTTTCCCATCGAGGGCACCTACGCAATTAGGTACATTCCATTTCTGCAGGAAACTCCGAGCCACTGATAGCCATTCTCCCTGTGTATTCGGCATCTGTAAAATAAAATTGTTTGTAATATTTGTGTGTGTAGTTTTAGTTATATGTATGTAAAATGTGTGTGAAGTTCCAGGTACAGTATAAAATCATAGACATTATAATTCGACTAGGAATAGATACGTCACTTAGGAAACCGTTGTCCTGTAAACTCTCCTGGCAAGAATCTTTTAGTTAAAATGTTTGTGTCTTGTACATGCCATAACTGTGTGAATAATAATAATAATAATATATAATAAATAATAATCTGTTTTGTTTTCTAATATATGCGTTCGGTTTCTAACTACCTAATGTGTTATGGATATTTGTACTTACCCTTAAATAATTGGATAATGTAGATACCAAAGCTTGACAAACATCTGGAATTATTAAAGAAATAACTTGTGGAGACACTTTAAACAGTGTACCGAGTGAAAAATAAGAGTCTCCTGTAGCCAGGTATCTCAAAGTAATTGCTAGTCGATCGGAAGCTGATTCAACATTTCTCCAGCGGGTGTCAGTTTTTGATATCATGGGTACAGTTAAATTCAGTAATATTTCAAATTCTTCACTAGAGATCCTTAGAAAAGTGTTAAATTTCGAACGAATATTTCTTCGGTTTATGTCGTCCTTTCTAAAATCTTCAAGTATGAGGGACACCTTAGGCCTATTTCGTAGACTTGGTCTGACCCAATGTCTTTGTTTGATTTTGCGGTTCTTTTTATCAATAATAACATACAACGCTACACTTGCGATACACGCAACTATATTATAGTCCAACATCTTCCAATCTTACGTACATGACTAACTTCGACGAAAGTCACAACACTACTGCGAAAATTGCAGTCGCATCTGCAGGCCGCCGGTAAGGCCGGCGGCAAATTTAGCGGCAAGGCAGTCTGAAAGCCAGCGGCAAACCCGGCGGCATAAGCCGGCGGCATGTGTGGATACACCATTACAGCAATATCAAACCACAAACAATACTTCATTCTGATACATTGTGGCTGTTTATGTTACCTTTGAGCCAAGATTCACACGATTCACACAAGATTTCCTACGGATTGCGTAAGTAAGATAGATTATAAATTTATTTAATTTAATTTTTTGGACCCTTTTAATATATCGCAAGTTTAAGGTAACGTCTAGAATGTCGTCTAAAGAGATATTTAACCTCAGACGAAAACGGAAGGGTGTTATATATATGTACCTATGTATAATAAGTTTGTGGTGTGTAATTATACGACAAGTGTCGTAATTGAGGGTGTTCTTAGCTATAGTTTCAAAGAATTCTATTCAGTCGTTTGAAGATCATTAGCTCTTTTTATTTAAGGGGTTTTTGAAATTTTATTGCATATTTATTTAAACATTTATTATAAAGTGGTTGCTGCTGTGTTATGTATTGTGAGAGACGACGACCCTTCACTTTTTATAATATGTGGGGTACGTTATATGGATATTTTACGGATAATGAAGCTGAGATTGAGATGAGAATTCATCTTAGTTCACATATGTTCGCTTACTGGGTAGCTCGGTCTAGAGGTCCGCCTGGTTAAGTTCCACCTTGTTACTTATTTCTGCTTGTAAACAGCAGTGCTTGTACTGTTAGGTTCCAGTTTTAAAGGTAGTGAAGATCGTAAAGGTAGTTTTTCCGGACCGATACGACTTAGGGACCTTCAAGAAAAGAGCCTGCTCCTTTTAAAAGGCCGGCAATGCATCTGAAATGCTCCTGGTGTTGCATTTGTTCGTGGTCTGCGTTAATCACTTGTCCCATCACCATCCACCATCACGTGAGCCGTATGCTCTTTTGCCCTCCCCAATTCGGGCAAAAAAATTCAAAATGTTATTACGACACTATAATAGTGTCGTCTTTACGCGGCAAATGCTCCCTTTTACGCGATCGTGGCTACACTAGTGATACAGGAAAGTAGCCGGTTACAGAAGAATCTTAAAGCTATATCATAAAACTCTTTGAAAATAAATGTTGTAAATATACTGTTTACCATCGCGTCGTCTCGTTGCTTCATTTTCTAACAGTATAAAAGTAAACTAGCCTGCGCATCATCAGGCGGCAGAAAAGCAATTTACTTCGTCTACTCGATTAACCTGCATTTTCATCGCGTAACAAACCACTTATATGAGTCATTAAGGTCCTCTTGCAGCGCGGAAAACGTAACCTCGCTCTCCGCCATTTTCAAGCGAATTCGTAGTAAGGCGGGGGAATTTATAAAAAAGCGACGTACCTACATCCATTTTTAAAAATATCTCACCAAGCATTAGCTGCAACGGCCCAGAACGTTAAAAACATTCGTTTTTTTTTTCATAAAATAAAAAAATATTATTGCAAAATTTATTCTCACTATCACCTTAAAATTATAAGGCTTTTGCTTTCAATTAAGTTTTGAACAGTTTCAAGAAAGAACTTTCGCATGGTACGTTTATTGTATTTAGTGTCTTCTTTATAACTCTTCGAGACAGTTAGTACGATACGCGTTTCTGTTTTCAAGCAACGCCTGTTCCAATTTTAATAGAATGATGTTGTTTAAGCACTACAGTCTCACTTGTGTAGATTTACAAAGGTTCAAAAAGATTAAAAATTATTATTTGTATTATAATAAGATTTTCATGGCACTTACTATGGATATTAAATTTTATCGCACCGCCGTGAATTGTCATAATTTTGTGTTGTATTTTTGTTATTCAATACAATTATCTACGCTGAAGGTCTGCACGGATCAGTAAGCTGAAGAGGCAATTGGCTGGTCAAATACCTCGAACAACCGAATGGGAAAAAACGTTTACCAGGGGCATCTAAGAGAAGTGTAAGGCGGCCCCACTAAATGAAATGACGACATAGTAAAAGATGCAGGGAGTCGATGGATGCAGCCGGCTTAGGGCCGAGCTTTGTCGCATTCCTTGCCAGAGGTATATATTCAGCAATGGACTTGTATTGGGTTGTATTGATAATGATGAATAATTATGTCTTGATGATACTTATTATAATATTACCTGTTTTGCGAGTTCCCGAAAACCCATTCTTGGAGCAAGTATAAATATATAAATGCTTAGGATCTAAAATGAAGCAAGACTAGTAACGATAGAGTGCGGACCGCGAACTCAGATCATGAGGTTGAATCCGCCATCAGACTACGGTTGTGAACCACTACTAATACAAGCATTTTTAAGCTAACGAAAAGTGGTTACAGGAAGTATTAGTGTAATGTGATTATCATTGCTAGAATTTTATTTTTAAAAACAGCCGGTAATTTTTTGAACCCTTTGGGTCTGATATCTTTTGAGACAGAAGCAATGTCGGACTAAATAAACTTCAACAAATGAATCAATGCTACGATAATAAATGAAAAAAAGCATTACTGCATATTATATATATATATATATATATGTATATATATATATATATATATATATATATATATATATATATTGTACAAAAAATATTATATATATGTAAAAAAAATGTATGAAAAATGGCAATGAATAATATTTTATACTAAGTAGGTCGTTAGAAATCATACTTGGGTTAATAAATTATAGGAAAATTTATTAAATTTAAGCTATATGCCTATAATACGTAGTTTTTGAAATTATTTTTTACTAAGATATGATAATTTAAACTGGAGGCATACAAATTAAGCACTTAAAAACTTTTATATATTTCAACAAAATTAAGTTATTAAAATGTTAAATAAAATTGTATGGTAATTTATATTTAAAAAAAATTACTAGCTCAAACTTTAAGCGTTAGCAGTAAATATAACTATACGAGATCAACCCGGGTTTGATCCCCGCCGGCACCAATGACGGATGACGGATTCTCTGACTGATATTGCTGAACAAAGCTAAGTAGTGAAAAAGATATTGTTTTTGTTTTAAAATCCTAAAACAATTTAGCAAATCTACGTTACTACTACGTTGAGATAATGCCTACAAATTCTGGAATGACTTTTTGCAAGTATATGAAACAGTACCGTCTTTTTAATAATTAGGGACACGCAGACCCATCCATTTCTGTATTTAACACGGTGCTGCGGTTTAGCGATTTTTTGCCACTTCTCGTTGGAAACGGATACCGGAGGAAAATATTCCCGAAAATGTT